AGTTTTTGGTGTGGGTCCATTGAAGTCTATTACATGCAAAACACAATCTGCTGCAGGAAAAAAAGTCCCTGACCCTTTCCAAAAAATGCACCAGCTCAAAATGCATATATGTGCACTAGATGCATAGGAAACCATGTTAAATGGACTGTAGTGCATTTCTTCAAACTAGAAATCGCACTGAAACCTGCAGAAGTGTGAACCTAGGGTAAGAGAGGTGTTGCTTTGGGAGCCAAATGTTGTTTGCCTACAGCAATGGATTTTTTATACACTCACCAGCCACTTTATTAGGTCCACCTTGCTAGTACCCGGGTCAGACCCTCGTTTGCCTTCAGAACTGCCTTAATTCTTCATGGCATAAATTCAACAACGTGTTGGAAACATTCCTCAGAGATTTTGGTCCATTTTGACATAAGTTACTGTTACCTTTCTATCATCTCGAAACAGTCTGCCCATTCTCCTCTGACATCAAGGCATTTTCATTCACACAACTGCTGCTCACTGGATATTTTCTCTTTTTCAGACCACTCTCTGTAAACCCTAGAGATGGTTGTGCGTGAAAATGCCAGTAGAGCAGCAGTTGCCCATCTGGCACCAACAACCATGCCATGTTCAAAGTCACTTAAATCCCCTTTTTTCCTCCATTCTGATGCTCGGTTTGAACTTCAGCAAGTTGTCCACCACATCTAGATGCCTAAAGGCATTAAGTTGCTGCCATGTGATTGGCTGATTAGCAATTTGTGTTACCAAGCAATTGAACAGGTGTACCTAATAAAGTGGCTGGTGAATGTACAATGGAGGACTTTTTTATTCTATAGGAGGAATAAAAATTGTACAACTATACCCTACTAAAATGCCCATTTTTCATGTTTTTTTTTTTTTTTTTGTTTTGTTATTTTCTTAAACCATGAAAATGCTCACAACTATCACCCTTGCCCTCATTTCAACTGTTGTGATGTCCAGTCTGTTTAGAGCTCACATTGCATTATTGTGATGGTTGAAAAGGAATAGCGCCTAAAAATATCCATCATCTGAGAAACTGATTTCCCACGCGTCTCCTTTGCCTCGTGGAATATGCAGTGTTTCCAAAACACAGAAACAACTGTAATAAACAGCACAGCTGCTAATATCACGGCAACAACAAGCAGTCCTGGCAGAGAGGTCAGGCAGCTGCTCGGACACTTCAGAAAGGAGGTGGCGCTCATTCTGACCAGCCTTTTATGAATGCAGTGCTTTCTACTTTAGAATTGTTCATATTTTCTAAGAAAAAAGGAAATGCCTAGGATCTGGCTTATTGCCAAGTTCCAATGACTGAGCATGTGTGTAGTTCACTATATAAACATAAATGTTATAAAGTTTTAAATCATCAGGTTTTGCTTAAAATGTTTATTATATGAAACAAAAGCCATGACAGTTGTTTATGGTAGTAAACGAAATGATTTCCAGCTTTTAGATCTACTTGAACTTGGAGGGGGACCCCATGAAGATGGGGGGGGGGGGGGGGGGAAGGCATATGATCAAGATTCATGTACATTTCTCTACTTAACCCTTCTGTTTTCATAGAGGGTTTAGTTGTACTTTAACTTCCCCATGTACTGTATCATTTTGGGTGTAATGTGATTACCTGTATACCTTGCATAAATCTGGCTGCTCTAACATACGTACTGTTTATCATTGTCTTAGGGCGGTTTCACACTAGACAGTACATGTGCAGAGCAATGTACCTGCGGTTTTTGTTCAGGTTACCAACAGTTTTCCATAGACTTCTATTAGAGCGCGCATTTTCTGAAAGCGAACGAAAAGTCATGCATGCTGTATCTTTGCCGCACATTCAGAAAACCCACCAAAAATGTGAAAACTAATAGAAGTCTATGGGAAACCGTAAGAGCGCTGCAGCCATACCACAGCATGTCAATGTGAAACTGCCTTTAGGTTTTGTGTTTTGCTGTGCGTTTTGACATTTTCAGAAACGCACTACAATCCATTTAACTTGATTTCCTATGGGTCATGTTCACATCCAGTGCTGTATTTAGTGTTCGTGCTGCCCTAGGCTTCACAAAAATCGCCCTCCCACCACAGAGAGACCCTGACACCGACCAACATCCCCCCTCCCCCCACACCGGAGAGAGCCTTCCACTACCACCGCCCCCCATACAGTGGCAAACTCCCCCCACCCCGGCGAGAGAGAAGACACTCACCTTCACAGCTCCAGACATCCCCGGGAACAAGAGTCGGGCTCTACATACACCACCAAGCAGCCTGCAGCCGCTCTCAGATCCCGCCTGCTCCCCATGCTGCGTGTGTCCCTTCTTCCATCCCATCTTTCAGGACCCCCTGAAAAATGCCGCCCTAGGCAAATGCCTTGTGGTAAATACACCCCTGTTCACATCTGTGCGTTTTCAACCAATGTGTTTTCTGGAAAGGGTCAGGGACTTGCCCACAGCAGGTTGCATTTTTAATTCCATAGACTTTAATAGGAATCTGCTGCAATATTGTTCATATGGGGGGGGGGCAGATTTTTTTTCCATGTTTAACCCCTCTCTGGCATCCCCTTTAAAAGTTCTTAACGCCCACGGGGCAAGAAGGATCGGCAATCATGTGACCCACTGTGGTCACGACTGAAAGCTGGTGCCAACAGCTACCAATGTTTCTAAGGACCAAGAGCCACTTTTGGCAGCTTGGCCTTTGTGCCCACACAGTGATGCATATTTGCAGTATGTGGGCATTAAAGCCCTGCTTTTTGCAACCGTGCATATGGGTTAGTGCGGCATTACGGGGCAACATAAAAAAAAAAAAAAAAAAGACACAACACAAATCAAATGCTTGGGGGGAATCCTTAAAACTGCACACAAAGTTACAGGACAGAATGCATTACTCTTTTAAAAGTGGCAAAAGCATGCAGGCAACATGTGGCCCCCTTCCAACCATACCATGTGCTTGTCATCACTGGGAAGGGTTTCAGCAAAGCCCCCACCTTACAAGGCACTCTATCCCCACATTGAACAATGCCCGTGATTGCGCTCTCAGACAGCGCAGATCACAGGGCATAGCAGCTCTGTGCCTTGTAATGCTTATGGGCCACTGTCAAGCAGTGATTGATGGATTGATTTGGGTGGTGGGAAGGGACCACCAATGATTATGTGGTTGCTGAGAAGGTGGGGGTAATTAAAGTACCACTGACCACCAATAATTGTAAAATTAGTTTTTGTCTTCGACTAACAGAAGGCTTGCAATCGACTTCCGTGGATGACTTATTAAAGGCTAAGCAGACTGTAACCACCTCTATATCAGCACGATTCTTTATTTACAAACAGTTGTGGGCAAAAATAAATTAATAAAAATAAATTAATAATTATGAGATCACCTTGGAGGTATCCAAAAAAGGGGTCTTTTTGCATACATTTGTGTTGTCCTGGAATTTTTATTTGATTTTTTACTTTTACAGAAAGGTCAGTTTTTGGTCTTTTTTTTCCTTTATACTGTATGGTTAGAAAGATTTATTAAATACCACCAAACAAATGTATGTCTCAAGTACTCTTGGGTACAACCAGCAGCCTAAAGGATTTTACATGCAATAATTACTGGCTCCGTGGGAGGCATACCCCTGGCAAAGCGGTCTGTGTTGATGGGGGAAATCAAATAATTTTCTTTAAATCACTTCGTCTATGGCCAGCCTTAGAGTACAGTGTTTCATGACCAAGTAATTTTCTGTCAAACTACCACAGCACTGGAAAATATCCTGGAAAGGAAGTGGGTGTAAAATACTGTTCTGAAATCAACGAAAAGCACTCCAACCTCAATAAACAGAAAAAAAAAATTAAATAAAAAAAAACGGAGCTCAGAGAATCATTTCCAGTTGTGCCAACAGTAGGTATCTTGTGATGTAGGTTAGGCAGGACTTTTCTGAATCTGTACTTCATTTTAACTTCTAAAAGTGTGTGGACAAAATAAAAACAGAAATTCAAGATTTTTTCTAGAAGGAGGTGTGGAGTTAAATTTGGGTGATGCTTGGACATGCATTCTAATGGTCGCAAGCACAGGTGTGTTGGACATAAAAGTGGAAAGCTAGAAAAAAAAATTCTCTCTACATGAAAAAGAAAAACGAAGCTGATACACTAAAATACATAATTTCACTGAGCTTTTGGCAAATGTAATTTAGTAGCATAGTTTACAAAATAAAATCTTATGTAGCCAACTAATTATTATGTACTAGATTGATTTCTTTGCTTACTACCTGGCTCAATAATGGATTCTGCAGTCATTTGTGACTCCTTTCAGTATACCTCTATTAAATTATTCTCCTTCAACATCTCAATGAATGAACCTGAAGTCTCCTACAATAGCACGAACTCTTGAAGTCTTCTCTAGATGATTTTTGAAAGCGCAGTGTTTAGCATCTCCCTTCACACACTATGGGATGGATTTACAAAAGGCAAATAGACTGCACTTTGGAAGTGCAGTTGCACCAATTTTCCGCTGTGCTTAGTAAATGTGGTAAAGCTCTGTTGATTTCCAGCATCCAATCATGTGAGCAGAAAATGCAGTTTTTAATTTTCCTTGCCCGATTGGAAATTCTTTACAAAGGGAAGCTTCAACTCATTTACTAAACTTTGGGGAAAATGAGTGCAAATGCACTTCCAAAGAGTACACTCTATATATTTCTAGAAAGCACTCATAATTAGGCTACGTAGTCTAAGAGGCCATCAATGATACCTGCTTGAAAGAAAAATTGTACTCAAATGATCAGATGAGGGGATAAAGTCTCGGAAAACATTATGCCTCTGAAGTGTACAAAATTACATTTCAGTTTTATTTGACGTCCTCTCACTTCTTCCATGAAATGCAAGTATTCAGCAGGAAAAAAAGCCATACTCCAAATTTTTAAAGTTATTTATTAGCCAGAATCCACTGGCACCTCTTGTGGCAAGGGACCCAAACCCTGTATACTGCCACAGAGAAACAGGACTGGATGACAAGGAGGATTTTGCAAGACAAAAAATTATTCACATGGCGAACAGGATGAGGAAAGCAACCATGAGACAGAACAGTCCCATAGCTTCAGAAAGTGCAAAACCCAGGATAGCATAGGAGAACAGTTGCTGTTTAAGGGATGGGTTCCTGCAGAAAAAGTGGGGGAAAAAAAAAAAAGTTAGATCCCGTTATACTTCGACTGTGAAGCACAAAATATGGATAGTAAAATACTAAACATAAAACATGAAAAAAAATGTACCTGGCATATCCAATAATGAGACTTCCAAATACTGTACCAATACCAGCTCCAGAACCAGCCACACCTACAGTGGCAGCTCCAGCGCCAATGAATTTAGCAGCAGTATCAATGTCCTGGCACACTGCACTGGTTTGGATCCCTCGAGATGGAACCAGTGCCACCACCTGAGACTGAAAGAAACACAAATCATTAATACCCCACGCATACTAGAAATTCTCTTCATTTAAAGCATTTACCACTTTACTCAAAACACTTGACACCAATCCGAGTCAGATCTCTGATGCCACTAGTCTCCCACTGGAGACAATCATCTGCTTCCTCCAGTGGCAACAATAGATGAAAGCAAAATCATCTTCTCCTCTGCCAAACAAGAAATATCTGACAATCTATGGGACAGCTTTAAAAGAAGCAGCCATACACTGGCTCTGGGTACTGCTTTGGAATTGGTATGTATGGGTCAACCTCATCAGAGAACAAACTCACAAGAATCAGGTGTGAATCCATGTGACACCTCATACATTGGCTCCTGCTGCTGTTAATCACAGCCAGTGAGGAAGGAGCAGGGAGCTGGGCTGAGCTGCGCTGTGTGTATCAATGGACACACACAGCATAACCCAGCATCGAGCCCACACAAGTGCACCCATAGCAAGAAGGGGGGCAGAGAAAGGTAGCTAAGGCGAGGGACTCAAGAAGGGGAGGATCAGAGGTGCTCTGTGCAAAACCACTGAAAAGAACAGGTGTGTATGACATGTTTGAGAAAAAAAAATCCCTTTACAATCACTGTCCCTCAGACATCTTTAAAGCAGGAGTCACATCATCGTGGCTCAGCCATTCCAGCTGCCGAAGCCTGTGAACCCAGAAGGAAGACCGGATGAAAATGTGAGCGGTGACAGCAGTGGAGGGCTTCATTTGTAAGGTATTTCATAATGTGAAAGTATGCGATGCACACTAGCACATTATGCCATTGCCTTGTGGTACATCACATTATGGTTTTTGTTTTTCCCCAAAAAAGTGGGACAAGTTAAAATGCCTCAAGAAAAAAAGAAAAGGTTTGGGCTGGAGTTCCACTTTATTGGGAGTAGGAGCTGTGACAGTATGGCTGATACAGTTGTACTATGCTAGCTTTGTCCCAGCTTACGTATCAAGATTATTGTTTGCTGTGTCCCTGTTGTAGACCTCCCCTCACTTCCTCTTTGGTGAAATAGCAATCGGTGAACAGGACGGAATGTTTAACACCACTCTCTATAATGAAGATGGATTTGGATGTCCCAGGCTTCCATAGGCCAAATAAAGATTAATGCAGCAAATGACACACAAGACCTCCAATGCATTTAATTGGTGATAAATACATGCAGCACTGTGGTGGTGGTGGTGGTGGTAATAAAAAAAAAAAGAAAAAGGTAGGTCATGTGTGCTTTTTGGTGCATGTATGCTATTTGAGAACCCATAGGAAACACATTACAACATAACAAAATATGTAAACCAGTGACAGTGTGCACTACTAAATACAAATAACCCAAATAAAATTGAAATTATGATCAAACTAACAGAGTCGCTGCACCCACTGATAAGTGATCCCACATCCCCAAGAATATGATGTAATAATAAAGAGTTGCCCTACTCAACAAAACATCTCAAATACATGAATACATTGAATATTATTAAAACAATCAAATCAGTGTGTCCATTAAATAGTTCATATCCAAATAGTTAATTCTATGCTTCACCCAACAAATATAATCCAGTGATCCAGAAAGCTTTCCGTGACAAAGCCACGTGGGTTGGTGGCATAACGTGTGGGGCGTATCTTAGTGATGTCATTTCCAGCACAAAGCCATGGACCGGAAGTTTGGTTCTCATTTATTGCGCTTTTACATTCAGTGTCAATGTGAGTTTTTATTGGCTATTTGGCTTTTAATAGAATAAACAGTAATACACTATTGGAGGCCATTTGTTTTTCCTTCCCTGGGGGTCCCGGAGTGGAGGAGAGGAAGTGGGTGACATTTTTGGAATGAAGGTTATATTGCCGATGGAGGAAATTTACAGTGTGACCAGTTGCTGCCATGTAGAGTCCATATATGAAAATACAACCAAGCACTTGACCTGTACTATCCACTTGCCCTCCAGAGGATTTACCCCCCTTCCTGACCAGGCCATTTTTTTGCGATTTGACGCTGCATTACTTTAACTGACAATTGCGCAGTCATGCAACGCTGAACCGAAATGAATGTATGTCCTTTTTTCCCCACAAATAGAGCTTTCTTTTGGTGGTATTTGATCGCCACTGCGTTTAATTTTTTGCACTATAAAAAAAAATAAACACCTGACAATTTTGAGAAAAAAAAAACAACAACAATATTTTTGACTTTTTGCTATTAAACATGTCAAGTAAAAAAAAAAAAAAAAAAAAAACCCCACAAAATTTCGTCATAAATTTAGGCCAAAATTTAGTCTGCTACAAGTCTTTGCTAAAAAAAAAAAAAAAAAAAATCCCAATATATGTAAATTAATTGGTTTACGTGAAAGTCTACAAATGGTGGTATAGATACTGGATTTTTTTTTTTTTATACTAGTAATGGCAGCGATCATTCTGACACTTGGGGGGCAACTGACTGTCACTGCCATCCCCAGAGAGCCCAATACGATTATCAGTGCTAACACTATACTAATGACACTGGGCAGGAAGGCATTAACATCTGGGGTGATCAAGGGTTAACTTTGTGCTGTGTTTCACTGTGTGCACTTCACTGTGTAAGCACATTGCTCTGTATGCTTTGTATGGTTCTGCATAGCAGAGCCAATGTGCAGGAGCTGACAGGGGAGAGATCTGTATTGTTTACATACAGGTCTCTTCCCATTAAGTGATACACGGCGATCGTCAGGTGCTGGCAGGGAATTACCAGCTGGGACCCGGTGATGGACAGGTGAGGCCGCCAATGGCGGCACGAGTACGGTGCATGTACACCCCCTACCCGGAAATGCAAAATCATGTATATACACACGTGATTTTGCACACTCCTGCCGCTCTGTAGCAGTATTTATGCTATAGGGAAGCGGGAAAGCAGTTAATTACATAGGTCCTGGTGTCCAGGTGAGCAGCCATCCTTACATGTGGTGGTGGTGGTGTTTACAAGATTGATTCCAGATCACTGAAGTATATTTGTCGGGTGAAGAACAGAATTAACTATTTGGATCACTTACACATTATGGATATGAATTATTTAAATGGTGTCCAATAATGTGTCATTATTTGATTGTTTTAATAATATTCATTTTATGCATGTATTTGAGATGTTTTGAGTAGTGCAACACTTTATTATTACAGCATGTTGTATATCCTGCATGAATAGGTGTACAAAAACCAAGCATACTATGACATTCTAATAGTCTATAGGGAGTTTACCTGCTCTGTCTTGAATACAGGGCTGCTCAGCACGGTACTGGAAAGTGGTCTGCAAAGAAGACAAGCACCATTCCTCACCTGGACAAAAACCAAAGAAACCATGACATTACCTTAAAGCAAACCTATCTGTCTGCATGTCATAGTGTAAAGCAACAGTATAATTAAAAAGTTAACTTTTATCTATTAAAAATATTAAAAGGGAACCTGTCACCTTTACCATTTATGATCTCCAAAGCTCACCTTCCAACTTACTTATTCAGCACTCTCCATGGGTCCTTCTGCTGCAGCCACGGTAAAATGCTTGGTATATTAGAGCATGTGACATCCCTCCCATGATGCAGTGCTTGTCCTTAGCAGCCTATAGCTAGACCCAAACACTGACACATAATTCCCAAGCTTCAGCACCTAGTATTTTTGGGATGGCTGCTACAAAGGAGCCCTGTAAAAGGGAAGTATAATTGGGTTTGGTGTTGGGCTGATGGCAGGGTATCTAAAATGTATTCATGGGCTATGTGTAAATAGACATTATAGGTGCCACTTGAGAAAATTATGTTAACAGTGTTCTTCAAGCAGAAGGAAAGCGATCACCAGTATCTCCTCCCTTTGCTCACTCACTAACAAACACAATTGTGTCACTTATGAGGGCTAGCATCTTTGTCAGGCGTGTGGCTGCAGGGATGCCTGAACAAAGATGGCAACAGCCTTCTAAGGAGAAAGGAAAGAGGCATGGTCAGCAGAAGTTCTGTGATTTCTGTGAGCGGTAATAAATATCCTTACCAGTTAAACTAGTACCAAGCATTAATGCAGAAAAAAAATATCTGATACTAGGCCTGCTTTAAATTGTAGGATGTAAACCAATAAAGTTTCTTGCATTTCAGACATTTATTAGTACATTTAACATCCAACGTATGGAACACAAGAAATGTTAATAATGAGTAATAAATACGTTTATATGAGGAAGAACGCTGCAGTCTTAAAATCTCATTAAGCAGCAGAAGACAACCAACTAAAGCTGGCCATAGACTGTTCAAATCATGAATGGGCAGGCTGAATGTACCCAAGTTGCTTGATTAACTTGGGTACAACCAGCCTGTTGGATTTTTCATGCAATTATAGCTGCTAGAAGTAATCACTATGTTCTCCTAGCAGGGACGAATGGCCCTTTACAGCGGACTGTGATCAGCTGTGTCCAAAGGACACAGCTGTCACAGAGCGCACCCAATACCCACCCTGGGAGGATTTCTATAGACGCCCTCCCAGATCGAGAGAGTCGTGCTGTAGCTATAGCATAGTAAGGAGGAGGTTAAGCACTACCTGCTATGTAATACAAAGCAAAAACTTTATTCTCATGTAATTCTGTAATATGGCATTGGAGTGTTTGAAATTAGTTTGATATTTGCCTTTATATGAACTTACAAACCTGTATAGACAACTTACCAAAGTTGGGTTGGACATAAGCTTGACGCAGGCGTACATTTTACTGGTTAAGGTGGACACACAGGGGATACAAGAATGACACACAGGTGATACTGTAAAAGGGAAAAAAAAGACAAATAAAATTGTCAATAAACATTCTTATTACTATAACCACCCATATATAACTTAAAGCATATTTCATTTCTTTCCCAGTTTGGATAAAGTTTGAAATAATCTAAGCCGGTCGGTTTTGTTTGCCACTCCGTTCCGTTCCATTAGGCTTGATGTGCCTCAATTTCCTGCCTCATAATACAAGAGGTGAGAGAAGATGATATTTCCAAAGTGAGGTGAAATCCCCTTTTAGTTTCCACTGTAATGAGGATTTCTACTCTATTCTTGCTCGCTGACAATTCAGAATGTTAGATTTTCCTTCCGTTTCAGCCCACCCTGGTGATAATGTACACCAAAGACAAATAGAGAAAACATAAGCCTGATGGGGTTCTAACCCCTCACCAATTTCTTCAAAGTATAAAACAAAATTTGCTTTTAAACACACTAAAATAATTTGAAATATTTCAATACATAAGTTTTCATTATAAACTATGCAAAATTACATATTACCCAAAAATGTCAGCTTAAAGAATGTGGTGGTGGTGGCAGTCCAATTTCTCTCCTCTATTCCTTCTAGAAACCAAAGGCAAAATGTTTGTGTGTGTGTATATACACTATATTGCTAAACGTATTGGGCCGCCTGCCTTTACACACACAACCTTTAATGGCATCCCAGTCTTAATCAGTTGGGTTCAATATTGAGTTGGCCCACCCTCAGCAGCTATAACAGCTTCAACTCCTCTGGGAAGGCTGTCCACAAGGTTTAGGAGTGTGTCTATGGGAATGATTGACCATTCTTCCAGAAGGGCATTTGTGAGGTCAGGCACTGATGTCAGATGAGAAGGCCTGGCTCGCAGTCTCCACTCTAATTCATTCCAAAGGTGTTCTATCAGGTTGAGGTCAGGACTCTGTGCAGGACACTCAAGTTCCTCCACCCCAAACTCACTCATCCATGTGTTTATGGACCTTGCTTTGTGCACTGGTGCGCAGTCATGTTGGAACAGGAAGGGGCCATCCCCAAACTGATCCCACAAAGTTGAGAGCATGAAATTGTCCAAAATGTCTTGCTATGCTGATGCCTTAAGAGTTCCCTTCACTGGCACTAAGGGGCCAAGCCCAACCCCTGAAAAACAACCCCACACCATAATCCCCCCTCCACAAAACTTTACACTTGGCACAGTGCTCTCATGACTAGCATGGTCAGTTTGAAATAGAAAAGCAGGGAGGCTGGTAAGATCACCACTATTTCACACAAAGAAAGGAATAACAAGATACTTTTTAAACACAAGTACATGGTACAACAGACGCATATCAGGTATATGAAACGTCACATGGTTCACATGGTGTCTGAATGTGATGGAATTGGTACATGACTTATCTGATCATATTGCATGCATCCATGATCTCCGTCACACTGCAGTTATTTTACATGACGTCTTGGTGATGTATCTGTATATATTTTTTTTAAAATGGTATAAATGCATTTGGAATCATATGAATAGTGCATTTTCCTTGTTTCTTAAAGGGTCAGTCATGCTATGCTGGAGGATAATAGCCTAAACTGCGTGGCAAGTAAACATTTTTAGATACAATAGGTAATGATTAAATAAATAAACTTGACAGTCTTTACCCTGTCAAGATTTTCCTCCATGACCTGTCCCAGAGACAACAGGAATTAGAAGGAAATCTCACCAAAGTGAGGGGAATTCCCTCTTAGAAGGATGTCACCAGAATAGATTCTCCTCAACTTCTGTTCCAGTGACAGTTCTATAAAGTGTGATTTTCCATCACCTTCCATACCGGACATAGTAGTGACAAGGACAAACAGAGGGTGAATCTTCCCAGCAGAGGCACACACCACAACCAAAAAAAAAAAACTGACACCAGCAATAACCCTTCCTCTACACAAGAGCAAAGAAAACTGTTCTGGCTTTACATAAACTTTAAGTCACCCATTGGCTTTGTATATCCAATTATTCCTAATTTTTACCCTATCCACCCTAAAGTCCTTCTATTACTTTCTGCACAACACAATAAATCTAATTTAATATAATTTCATACAAGAAAAATGGATCTTGCTGTCCGCATGCTCAAGCAATAAGAAAATATTGGCTGTTTTAAATGTGCACACTGCCACCTTCCTATTCTAGAAATGCTAGATGTCTGGCTGTCACGATGATCCTTTAGCTTTAATACCTTGATACTCTGATCCAGAACAAGCATGCAGATCAGGAATCTACTCCTTTCGGGGTCAGAGACTCAAAGCACTAAAAGCAAGAGTGGTCACTGCCAGGTAACTAACATTTTCAAACCACCTGACAAGATGCAACATCTTTTTCCCTATTCATTGGAATGAATGGGACTTCACTTGCTTCTTGAAGTACATTCATAGAGCACACAGCGGTCAGCGCTTTAGAAGGCTTAGCTCACACTATTGCAGGTTTGCACAGGCATGGCAGCCCATTCATTTGAATGGGCTGCTGTGCTGCATTCACGCAGGTAAAAGGTTCCTGCAGCAGTTTTAAAAACGCAGCGGCTGGGAAATCGCATGGTGCAAAAGATTTCCCTACGGTTCCCACACCCGCAAATGTGCTGCATTTTTAGACACGTGGGGTGCCATCAAGAATGAATGGCGGCCCCATGCATTTTTAAACAGCACCACATTTTGACTGCGGGTGGTAGTAACTACGGGAAATGCTGCGATTCCAGCAGCCACAACCACTCACAATAGTGTGAAACAGGCTTAACTGTGTCTAATAGAAAGCAAGGGGTAGCCACAGATAGGGCGCATCTACGCTCTATAATGCAGGCCACAGACAAGTCTTTTATCGGCCGAATTTTCGTCCGCATGAAAAATCTGCCAATATCCATGCCGTTAGTGGAGCCAGCCCGTCAGCTGTTTTTCGCAGATCTCCTTATTTATTTTTATCGGTGATGCTGGAAAATCCGCAAAAAAAACGGCTGTTTTTTGTGGACATTGGTGGCAGCATCGACAACGGGGCCAACCAATTTTTCGTTTATCGGCCGATAAATGGCCCATCTATGGCCTGCCTAAATGGGACCCTTGGTGTTTCTAACAATACACAGATCTTTATAACGATCACTGACTCAGTATGGAAGCCAGTAGATTGACAATTCGAGAACTTTCAGATAATAGAAGCCCCATATTTCGCTTAGGTTTTCTTGTTCTTTGTACCAGAAACACAAATTTAGGCACATAAAACATTTTTTTTATCACTCCGAAAAATATTGAGATTAAAGGCTAGCTCCACCATTCAGACCTTTTTACACCAATATTTGGCGTACAATATAAAACTTTGTGCCATTCTGCAGCCCCCACCCTCAAACTGCCCCCCACTTACCTTAATCATGCCCACTCCTCCCCAGCATCTTTTTTTTTTTTTTTTTAATTGGTCCAGTTGTGTGGGGCTTCCCCAGCACATCTACATCATCCATTAACAGCGATCTGTGAATGAAGACTACAAGTCCCACCTTGTAACACAGAAGCAGGACTTGCAGTTCTCAATGAAGCACAAGTGTAGTGATGTCACCACACTTCTAGTCCATTCATTACTTCCTCCAACTCCATAACCGAAGGTTCATACCTCTATATAGACCTGGGGCTGGAGGAATAATCTGCAGGAGCCTGTGCATTGCACCTGTGATCCACTGATTGAAGTTGCAATGCTCTGCAGGCTTCATTGCAAAAAAAATTAAGGCATATTAGGGTAGAAAAAAAAAAAATGTCTTTGACAGATAGCATGGAAAGAGTTCTCGTACTGTCAGATCTGAAAATAGTGCAGCCATACAGAGCTCCTCCCACACGGTCGCCTCATTCATTCATGGACTTCCATGAATGAACTGTAACTCCCAACAGGCTTAGCGGCTGTGTTCTTGTAGTTTTCAATGAACTACCATAGTGTTGTGGATCCCCATGGTAGTTCATTGAAGTTTCCTGTCAGAATATCTGCTTAGCCGTACATCCCGTACAGCAAGAAGATATTCCGACGGGTCTGCAGGAGACCTGCATGGCATCAGTGATCTATTGATTGCTGGTGCAATGCTTTCCAGGCTCCTTTGGACAAAAGTAGTAAATTACCTGCAAAAAAAGTGCATTTATTATTTTTGTCCAAAAGGTGAACTTATCCTTTAAGGCCGTGTTCACATAGGCATCCAAGTGAAGGGCTGCACAGGATGCACTTACACAGACACAGCCGTCCCTCCCAATCTGACATCCATGTGGGTGTCTCCTAACTCACTGCGTTCGAGGACACATACCGACATAGATGTCATAATGGGAGCAGTGGGTGTGTGTGTGTGCAGCTGTGTCCCAATAGACATGAATGGGAGTGCCTGCAGGCAGATACAAAGAACACGTGTACATTCCATGTGGGCAAACAAGGCCCTTCACACATCCATGTGATGTAAGCTGTCTGTGTGAACTCGGCCTCCCTGAAAGAAAAAGATACTTACCTGTCCCTTTGCACATCCACTCTTCATTCTCCTTATAAGCCACAGCACCTGAAGAATCTTCTAATACTTCTGGCTGCGTTAGCTAGCTGGTTTCTCCTGTGTGCTCTGTGGTTCCTTTTGTCAGCCACTACCTCCCTACAGGGATGTAGCCAGCAGCAGGTTGAACCACAGTGCTCAGGCTCTATATACACAGAACAATCTGAATGTCCAATCAGCTTCAGATCTACCTAAACCAGGGCTTGACAAATTTGCATTAAATCTAGGAGCCAGGGATTTTTTGCATAGTGTGGGTTGTCAGGGCATGGCCACTTTTGGGCAGCAAGCTTCACATGATGTCATTTGCTGTGCAACAATCACGGCAAAACCGCACCAGGTTTTAGGTGCCACTGAAAAAAAAAATGGCACCTGAACCTGCGTTTTACGGGGGAAGGGGGGGGGTGCGGGGTGGGGGGGGTGGGGGGGGGTGGGGGCCTTTGGGGGTGGGGTGAGTGCTATCAAAATGATTCTGCCGCAATTCCAAAACGCCAAGGTGTGAATAGAGCTACCCTGGTTCACATATATGTGATTCTGGATGTGTGTTCAAACTCACAGATTTGCATAACAGGCTAGATATTATGTGTTACTACTGAGAGGGTTCACACAGGTCCAATCGACATGCATTGTGTTTTGAGTGCCATTATGAAAAGGGTCCTGTGCACGTTTGTAGCTCTGCGTTCCAGACTCACAAGTGATAGAGTAGAGTGGCATGTGAGATAAGGGTTCACATAGGATTGCTATTGACAGGAGTTTTTGCACCGAAGTCAATGAGGGGGCTTTTTGCACTAAAGTCAATGGGAGGCAGTGTGAACCAAGGCGCCAGGACGTAATTGCTAGTCGCCATGGCGACCAGGCATATGGGATTTGTCGAACCTTGACCTAAACTATGTAATATGAGGGCCTATCTAAACTATCAAAGTTTCTTCAGAATTACCAGGTGTGGTGGGCTTTAGAGGGGAACCAGCCATCTCACAATATGTTGTAAACAAAACAATCTTCCTCCCCGTCAGAGATGCTCAGTAATCACCGGGTGCCGACGGGTAATCACTGAGCGGGACCCTGTGATTGACATCCGTGGCTGTGAATGGCGGTGCGGGCGCGTGCTCCCTACCCACAGATACAAAAAAAAAAAAATACGTGATTCTGTGCACAGGTGCTGCCCTGTAGCAGTATATCTGCTATAAGGCGATCCTTAAGCGATTAAACTGCATTAATAATTTAGTTTATTCAGCATGAAATGGAGCTTAGTTATGTAGCATGAGGCTGTATATTCTGCAATATTTACATTTTTGGTAAACTCATTCAATGAATCCAAGCTCTGCAAGCTGAGATAACATGCACTGCATTGATGCATTCACTCACTTTCACAGTAACCATGAGAAAAACCATGAATTAAAGGAATTTGAGTAATGCTCCAGCTGTGTGTGATTAACCTGAAATCGGTTCTGATGTCGCTGTTTTACTACTAACCTGACAGCTTTTTATTGTAAAAAGGAAACCTTCATTTGGTTTGCAAATATTAAAGATTCAAAGTTATCAGCAAGAACGAGTCAGATTCCTTACATTTAAAGAGCACCTGTCATTTTAGATTCATCATGGCAGCGCCTGTTAGCGGGCAACAACTCTCCTGGTGCTGCCATGTCCCTCACCTTGTTGTGTCACTGCCGCATTACCAGTCATTAAAGAGAATGGGACTGTCGTTGATTCAACATCGGGTCAGAGGAGGAGCTGCTACCGGACAGAGATGACAGTTGCTCTTTAAAAGTTATGATTTAGATCGAGCCTTTTCACTGGTGATTTAAATCAAATCCACCCTGCTGAGAACTACAAGCTGACAGTTACTAAGGATGCAGGGACTTGTAGTCCATTCATTCACAGAATTCTGTGAATGAATGACATGGCCGTGTGGGTGGAGCCCTGCACAGCCACACTGATTTAAAAACTGACAGCTAGCTAGTATGGGGAACTTCTCCCTGTACTTCTGTAACAGGGAGGGGATCACGCAGCAGCTGCAACATTGGGCGCATGTTACATTTTCCACCATGAAAGAAGGTGGAACAAGTAACATGCTCCCAAAGGTGAACTTATCCTGTGTGTGGCCCACGGTTTGCTTGCATAAGATGCATAAGTGTTCCATACACCTCTGTGCAGGTAGTCCTGATCATTCCAGTAGGAATGCAGCGATTACAGACACACCAAATGTGCTCAATCTGACATCTGTGTGCGTGGGTGTGTCCCCAAATGCAGACACTGGGAAGTCTGGGGACAAGCACCTGCATGGATGCAAAATTGGGAGCAGCGACTGCATCTGTGCACAACAGATATGAACAGAGATATACAGAACACTTATGCCTCCTGTGAAGCAAAGGTCAGCCGTCAGGCGGGTGTACGCTTAAAGGATAAGTTCACCTTTGTAACACGGTACAATACAGTACCTGCCCCCACCCCTCTGTGACAGGGGATCCTCTCCCTGCCCCCACCCCTCTGTGACAGGGGATCCTCTCCCTGCCCCCACCCCTCTGTGACAGGGGATCCTCTCCCTGCCCCCACCCCTCTGTGACAGGGGATCCTCTCCCTGCCCCCACCCCTCTGTGACAGGGGATCCTCTCCCTGCCCCCACCCCTCTGTGACAGGGGATCCTCTCCCTGCCCCCACCCCCATGACAGGGGATCCTCTCCCTGCCCCCACCCCCATGACAGGGGATCCTCTCCCTGCACCCACCCCCATGACAGGGGATCCTCTCCCTGCACCCACTACTGGTAGTTCACAGATCTTCCTGCCCCATACAGGAGATACAGGCAGACAGCAGAGTGTCAGCAGGATCCTGGCATTGAACCCGCAATCTGCTGATTCAATAAATAAAGTGCATATTTTCAATACAGATGTGCATTTATTATAAAAGGTGAACGCACCACAATGGCGGTATGGGCAGACCGCGATACAGACGGACTGGCATTACATTCATGGTCTGCGGATCACAGATGTAATGATTTACAGACTCCTACCAAAAATATTATAAATGCATTTTTTTTTTGCAGGCAATAAAATACGTTTTTTTTTTTTTTTTTGGAAGGTGAACTTATCCTTTAAATCGCCCTGTGTGAACAAGGCCTGGGAAAATACAGAACGTGACACCGTGCTCCTGGATGAATGGGCCCTCCCAGCCCGGCTCCATACAGCACTACACATAGGAACCTGGGCACTATCCAGGCAATCACCCCAATCACTGATCTCCCTCTCCCGGAACCCTGCCAGCTGATCACCCCCAACCACGGACGGGCACAAGGTCACGCTCTGTGCGCTGATCCCCGGGACCCGCCCATCCGCACTAATCCCTCCACACACACCATAGCCCGCACTCCTACACCCGGCCCAGCCTCCAGTCTCCACACCCCGCCGCCCGCTCTCACGCTGTCCGGACACGAGCACAGATTCACTCTGCAACGCCGGGCCTCACCTTGGCGGGGAGAGAATGAAGAAGGGTGACCGTATTGAGCATGCGCAGATCCTCCTCACTGACAGCTAGCAATGCGCCTGCGCTCTAAACCGCAGATTGGACAAGAGCGGCTCCCTAACGCGGGGATGGGGAGTGGCGCCCTCTGCTGGCAGGGAGAATAATATCCGCCAGATCCTGCAATGGAAGTGAGTTTAGTGACATTAGGCTGACAATGTGACCTTCGGGAATGACCTTGTTTCAGGTGACTTTGTTGCAAGGCCTTATCCTTCATCTTATGCAGCAAAGTATTTTTTTTTAAACTGAACTCCAGTCAATACACATTGTATATTTAAAAAATAATCCAGTCTGTCACATGTCTGGCTGCTGCTCTGTTTCCTGAAACTTTTACCTTCATTAACCACTTGCCCTCCAGAGGATTTACCTCCCTTCCTGACCAGGCAATTTTTTGCGATACAGCTCTGCGTAAAATTTAACTGACAATTGCGCGGTCATGCAACACTGCACTTAAATGAAGTTTACGTTCCTTTTTTTCCCCACCAATAGAGCTTTCTTTCGGTGATGTTTGATCACCTGTGCATTTTTTACTTTTTGCGCTATAAACAAAAAAAGACCAAAAATTTTGAAAAAAAAACCCTATATTTTTTACGTTTTGTTATTAAAAAATTTAAAAATCAAATTTCGTCATAAGTTTAGGCCAGAATGTATTATTATTTATTTATTTCAGGTACTTATATAGTGCTGTCAATTTACACAGTGCTTTACATATATATATTTTACATTCACATCAGTACCTAACCCTCAAGGGGTGTACAATCCAAGGTCCCTAACTCACATTCATACATACACATACTAGGGCCAATTTAGACAGGATCCAATGAACCTACCAGCATGGCTTTGGAGTGTGGGAGGAAACCGGAGTACCGGGAGGAAACCCACACAGACACAGGGAGAACATGCAAACGCCAGGCCAGAGGTGCCATGGCTGGGATTTGAACCAGCAACCCTAGTACTGCCAGGTGGAAGTGCTAACCATTTAGCCACTGTGCTGTATTATGATACATGTCTTTGCTAAAAAAAATCCCTATATGTGTAATCTAATTGGTTTGCATGAAAGTTATAGCATTTACAAATGATGGCATATATACTGGAATTTTGTTTTTCAACTAGTAATGGCGGCGGTGAGTGACTTATAGCGGGACTGAGGCGGGCATTCTGACACTGGGGGGAACTGACTTGGTGTCACTGACATCCCCAGTGACACCAATACAGTGATCAGTGCTAATAAAAAGCGCTGACACTGTACTACTGACACTGGGCAGGAAGAGGTTAACATCTGGGATGATCAAAGGGTTAATTGTGTGCTGGGAGTGTTTTACTGTGTGGGCTATGTGTGCTTTACAGTGTAAGCACACTGCTTTGTATGGCTCTGCTCTTCAAAGCAGTGTGCAGGAGCTGACAGGGAAGAGATCTGTATTGTTTACATACAGGTCTCTTCCCCATCGGTAATACTCGGAGATCGCCGGGGGCCAGCAGGGAATCACGGGCCGGGACCCAGTGACTGACAGCGGAGGCCGCGAATATACACATGATTTTGCGCTCCCGTGCCATCCTGTAGTAGTATTTCTGCTATAGGGCAGCACATAAAGTTTACCCCACATAGGGCTTAAAATGGAAGTGGACTGCATTGGGGTACCACAAACTGAAAATGCTATTTAATTCATTGTTATTTTTCATCGCAAAGTCACCCATTCATCCTTGTCTCCATGCTTTATTTTGCTGAGAATAACTTTTGAAAAACACCCCGTAATATTTCTGAAAGTGGCCATCTTGAATAATGGCAGATGATTCATGTAGCATCTACTTCCTGGAATCCATCTGCTCTTAACTCAGGCATTGGCTGAGCTGAGAACCCTCCCCTCCTGAAGGCTCATGTGTGTGACATCATTTGCCTAGGCATGGAAACCAAGAAGTAACTGAATAAATGTAAAAAAAAAAAAAAAGTTTAAAACAAGTAAAAATCATATACTTTCCTATCTATTTACTAATGCTAGCAGCACAAGGGTTAAAAATGCCCAATGTTGGTTGAGACAGAGTGGAGAAAGATTAGAACCTCTGTCAGTTTTTATTGCTGTCTAGGGAGATTCATGCTCTCTATTTGTGCTGTATGCTGTTATCAAAAGTAAAAGAAAATCCCACATTTTGGGTTGGCACCAGAACAGTATTAAAGAGGAAATTTCCAATTGGTACACTAGTTCTGGCAACACACAGGGATTCCCTCACTTTGGACAGATACCTTCCCACTTCCTGTTTGGGCTATGGTACAGGAAGTGAAGGGAAATCTCCACAATGGACACAGATGACAAAAACAACCCTGACAGGGGTTATAACCCTCCCATACTTTATCCAAAATCAGAATGTAAAAGTTTTGCCTTTAGAGCTATTGTACATTAGGCACTGAACTTCCAGTGCTGAAATCTATAGACCCACATGAGTACTGAGATCACTGCAGGTCGCTCACTTCATGTTTTCCCATCCACAAAAATGTCTCACATTCTTTTCAATATATTCAAAACACTCTATGATAGGAGGAGGGAGAACTTGACATTTATCTGCACCTTCTCCAATCACAGATCACCTTGTATTTATTGAAAAGAATGCAAAATATTTTGTGAATGGTGGGGATATCAGACGAGGAACTCGCAGAGGTTCTGCTCCCAGAGGAACTACATGTTCCAGCACTGGAGGTTTGGAGGTTACAGCTCTGTGTGGAATGAATAATTGGAAAAGTTTGCAAGATGCAGCAGACACACATGGCACAGACTGCATTAGGGTTCATTTACTTTGAAAGCGGATCTTCACCTTAAAGCGGAGCTCCAGTCTCTGGTGAAAAAAATAAAAGCAGCTAAAAAAACTGTAGCTGCTGACTTTTAGAAAACAGCCACTTACCTGTTTCTCAATCCCACGGTGTCCTCCCTGCAGCCCGTTTCACCGGCCATCCTGTGTCCCCAGCACCGGCATCTTAAATGTGGGCACCAAGCTGTGACAGCTTGCGGCTTCACAGCCGGACGCCCGCTCCGCATGCGCGAGTGTCGCAGCGCATTTCTAAATGATCCCACAGTCCTCTGGGACCTGTCATGTGTCCCAGAAGACTGCAGGGGAATAGTCGGGAGTAGATCGATCGCAGCGGAAGTGGAAGCGAGTGCCTGTCAAAATCGGGTTCCCGCTCCCCAAAGGTGCTGATCCTTAAATGGAGAGTGGGGGATGAAGCCTTAAAGCGTAATTTCCCCTTTTGGCTGGAGCTCCGCTTTAAAGTATCCCTTAGGGCTGTCAAGGTCCTACCTTTTCCCAGAGGTTATGTTACTCCATGTGCTGGCATCCATCTTGGATTTCTGCTGAGCATGGTGGGAATCTTTTATGCCTTCAGGCCTCTGAGGTCCATCCCCCAGAGGGGTGTGGCTGAGTACATATAAGCCTGTGATCCGTACATGCTCTTTGCACTTGTGTCTTGGTCTTGCTACAGCTCTGTGTATACGCTCGTGACTCTTCTGGTATCTGACTCGGCTTGTGACTAAGACCATTCTCTGTGGTTTCCTTCGATCTGACCTTCCGTTGCTGAACCCGGCCCGTGACCTGTGATTCTCTGTCTACTGTTCTGTACTGTTTTGTCCCGTTGTTGTTGACCCGGCTTGCCTGACTACGCTATTGTCATTCTCACCAGCTACACGCCATTGGCGGTGGCCATTACTGCAGCCGGGGTGTCTCGGGGGCTGTGACCTGGTTCCTGGCTGCATCAAGTCCATCCCCACCATCAGGGGTCCTGGTGAAGGGCAGCCTGGGACTTAGACTCCACGCCCTGAGGGACTTTGGTCTGTTGGTGGTGGTTGTCGTCAGCCAGTGCGTTACCCTGCCACTAGGCCTACCTGTCCGTTCCACAGCCCTGCCCTGACAAGGGCTTGTTCACTTTTGACTACATTTCTATCTCTTACCAAAAACTCCTATAGCTTTAGTATAGGCAATAGACAGGCATTAATGAGCTTTTAGTTAGACAGGCATTAATGAGCTTTAGTATGGGCATTAGACAGGCATTAATGAGCTTTAGTATGGGCATTAGACAGGCATTAATGAGCTTTAGTATGGGCATTAGACAGGCATTAATGAGCTTTAGTATAGGTGTAGACAGGCATTAATGAGCTTTAGTATGGGCGTTAGAAGAAATGATGGGGGGGGGGGGTGATCAGCGCAAGCACTGCTAAAAGTCCTGGGTAATCCTGGTATGGGGTAATGGTGGTAGTTATGGCTGCATGAGGAAGATGAGCGTGGGGGTAGGGGGGTCCGTGTAGCACTGAGGGGAAGGCTTCCAAATAGACTGTAGCATACTTTGTAGGATGAGAGAGAGAGAAGCGCCTCTAAGTGCAGTATATCACTTTATTCAGGTGTAAAGGTAGGAACACTCACATAAATAAGGTAAGTATTAGCATAAAAACCATGGTTGGTGTAACCATCAGTAAGGTGGGTATCCAGGGTGAAGAGCTGTCATCTGTGTGAGGTATGGAGAAGTCAGCATGCCGCTGGAGCAGTGTGGTGGCTGGAGGGGAACAGCTGTGAGGCCGACGTGCACGTCCTCCCTCAGAGCTGGGTGGAACGCACACTGGAACACAGCGGCGGTGTGGCTGTGATGATGTCAGATACCCAAGGTGCACTGCGACGCGTTTTGGAGCATGCGCTGGCCGGGAAAGGCAGATGTGCACTCCTTTGTCAAGCAGACAAGCTATCCCGTCATCACGGCCATGCCGCCGCTGCGTTCCAGAGTGCATTCCACCCGGCTCTGAGGGAGTACGTGCACGCCGGACTCACAGCTGTTCCCCTCCAGCCACCACGCTGCTCCAGCAGCATGCTGACTTCTCCATACCCCACACAGATGACAGCTCTTCACCCTGGATACCCACCTTACTGATGGTTACACCAACCATGGTTTTTATGCTAATACTTACCTTATTTATGTGAGTGTTCCTACCTTTACACCTGAATAAAGTGATATACTGCACTTAGAGGCGC